TGAGAGTTAATGGTTTGATTTGGTGACTGGGTCGTCTTTCAGTTGGTTAGCTCAAAATCCAGAGAAAGGTGAATTTGTAGCTCCTAACAATCAGAGAGTAAAGGACCTCTGGATGGTTAAGTCCAGTCAAAGGCGACTGTGGGGTTGCTGCGCTCATCTTGCTTCCAGGCCGATGGAGCTGGCGTTTGTCCACAGACAGGTTTCTGGGTCATGTGGCCAGCAGGACTAAACCGCTTCTGGTGCAACGATGAGTGCCAGAGCGCACAGAAACGCTGTTTACCTTCCCGCTGCAGTGGTACCTATGTATCTACTTGCACTGGCGTGCTTTTGAACTGCTAGGTTGGCAGGAGCTGAGGCAAAGAAGAAGAAGGTTTGGATTTGATATCCCGCTTTATCACTACCCCAAGGAGTCTCAAAGCGGCTAACAATCTCCTTTTCCCTTCCTCCCTCACAACAAACACTCTGTGAGGTGAGTGAGCAACGGGAGCTCACCCCTTTGCGGGGATTCGAACTGCCGACCTTGCGATAGGCAAGCCCAAGAGGTTCAGTAGTTTAGACCACAATGCCACCTGGGTCCTGGGAGTACTCAGGAGTGAGCTGTTGCTTCTTAGACTGTGGGGCATTTTCAATGGTGCGAAATGGATGCAGCCACAGTTCTTGTGCACGTTCATTCGTTTTAGTGAAACTGAGGCAGCAACAGCGCTTCCATCCTTCATTTGAATGTCTTTCTTTCAAATGCTCTGCTAAAGTTAATGGGAGAAATATATACTGGTGTGCATGTAGCTGTTGAATGCTGAGAAAAAAAGATGACAGTGTACTGCAATAAACGAGTGAGAACCTAAGCTTAGGCATGTTTATTCAGAAGCAAGCCCTGCAGTCCTGTACAGGGCTTGCTCCTCGTAAATGCGATTAGGACTGCAGCTGTAAAAACGTTTTTAAAGTTTCATATTAAAAGTATACATGTCTTATTTTGCCTACTGTTTTCACTACCTTGCAGCCCAAGCCACCCAACAAAGGGAAATTGGAGAAGCCCATAGCAAAATTCTTACCACTGGTGGATAAGGTAATTTTTGCTTTGCTAAACATTTTAAAGCATGCCTTTGGAGAGAAAATTCTGGTGAATAGCAAATGCGTACAAGCATATATTTTAAATAGTTTCTCCGCTTATTGCATTTATACCCTCCCTTTCTCCCAAGGAGCTCGAGGCAGTATACATAGCCCCCTTCCCTTTTATCTTTACAGCATCCCTGTGAAGTAGGCTAGTCTGCAAAAGATGCTGGCAGGCCCAAATTCTCCCAGTCAGCTTTATGAATGCCCTGATTCTGCTGAAGGTTATGGCAGTGCCTTTGATCCAGATACAGCCATAAGCAGCAAAACTCATGCGTCCCCGTAGTGAAATACATGGCATAACCACTCATAATAGTTTCGGCTTTCATTTCCATTGAAAGATAGCAAGGTACCATTCACATCTATTAGAAAGGAAGTTCAGGGACTGCAACTGCCTTGCCTCTGTGCATATGGCTGTCTGTGCATGGATCACCACTCACGTAGTAGATCTGTGAGTAGTGGCACACTGAGTGCTGCCTTTGTCTACACAAGGCAGATATTTGCATCTGCTGGTATTGTCCCTTCCCTGGGTAGTAGCATCAAATACAGGTTTGTAGTTGCTGGACAGCAATTTCAGGAGTACAGATCCCTTACTGTAACCATAAACTGATTTCTAGATCGGGAAAGAGATCCACACATCCAGCAAGAGAGATCTGTGCATCCTTTCCTGTATTGTTTGACAAGGCAAGTGCGTATCTGAATGCACATCCCTGTTCAAAATGCAGTGGTCATCCAGACAACTGAATTAGTTGCATGTTTGTTTGCAAATGGATTTGATTTGCAAATTTTTATTTTTCATTTGCCTGCTTACTGATATTGTGGAATTAATTTCTTTGAAATGGCTTACAAATGGCATTAAGGACTGTCAGGAAATAGTTGCTGGCATCTTTCGACAAATGAGAAATTAAATGTTTCAGATAAATTGTAAGCCGATATGGCATCAGAATCCTCCTTCGTTCCACCTGCGGGGAGAGGAAGAGGCACATGTTCCAGAGGAGTTTATGATAAGAAACGAGGTAACACCTGGTAAGCATAAAGCTGGATGCTTGTGTACAGATGAAAATGGTTATATCGCTAGGCATGCATTGTTTTTTGCCCATTGTAATAACCTGGAAGATATGTGGGTGTTCTATCGATCATTTACTGGGTTGTATTTTTGCATTTCTCTTTTAGTTTATGGCCAAAATGAAAATGAAAACTGACTCAACCTCAGTGTAAACTCTGCTAGCTTGTGAAATGACTGCATGTAGGGCACACTTGATATATGCACACGATATATGCGATATATGAAGCTGTCAGGCTTCAGGGAATTGACTTCCTCCCCCTGTGGCAGTAGATAAGGAGAACAAAGGAAAAAGAGTCTTCTTAGCAGTTGTTGTTGTTGTTGTTTAGTTGTTTAGTCGTGTCCGACTCTTCGTGACCCCATGGACCAGAGCATGCCAGGCACTCCTGTTAGAAACTTTAATAATCACAGTGAGGGAACAAAGGACACGTCTCCCAGAAATGGCGGTGCTCCCAATTAAGGATTACGCCCTCTTCCATCCCTATTAATCCACATCCCTCCTACGTTTTGTAATCTGAGCTTGTCCCCTCTGTGCTTTCTGTTCTGACACTTTCTGAGCTCTTCTTGACCTTTGGGAGAGCGGAGGAATGCCGTCCAGAGATTGTGAATCTGTTAACTCTTTCTCTCCCAGTGCTTCTTCTCTTAGCTGTTCCCCATCCAGTACTTCCCAGCTTCTACCTTCTCAACTATGTCCCTCTGCAAACCACTGTTCCAGATCTATACTGTCCTCCTGCTCCTGGGAAGATTCAGGATCAGGATCAGGATCAGGGGGAGGGGGTGGCTCCCACCATTCTTCCTCAGTGCAGCCCTCCTCAGCACGGTCCCTGACACTATCTCAACATAAGTTGATAGCTTTTCCAGCAAAAGGTAGCTCAATTAATGAATTAAAACACATTGCCCGAGTTAGGGCTTCTTTCCTCGGATGCATGCATCCCTTGTGACTGGCTGTGGCATATCAACAGACCTAGTATAAAGGCATTGTATTTGAAGTACGACGAGGTGATTAGAAAGGGTTGTCTGTGGTGATAGGTTTGTGATGGCCCAATCCTGCATTTCGGTGGTTACTCGGAGCTACAGCCACCAGGAAATGAAAATACATGTGTGAACCAGCCCTAATATAAAGGTAAAAGGTAAAGGGACCCCTGACCATTAGGTCCAGTTGCAAACGACTCTGGGATTGCAGTGCTCATCTCACTTTACTGGCCGAGGGAGCCGGTGTACAGCTTCCGGGTCATGTGGCCAGCATGACTAAGCCGCATCTGGTGAACCAGAGCAGCGCACGGAAACGCTGTTTACCTACCCACTGGAGTGGTACCTATTTATCTACTTGCACTTGACATGCTTTTGAACTGCTAGGTTGGCAGGAGCAGGGACCGAGCAATGGGAGCTCCCCCCGTCGTGGGGATTCGAACGCCGACCTTCTGATCAGCAAGCCTTAGGCTCTGTGGTTTAACCCACAGCGCCACCTGCATCCCTGGCCCTAATATATTTGAGACTAAATATTTGCATCCGTGTATCTGCTGGCAAGGGACACGGGCTTCTGCTAGCAGAACTGGGTAGCTTCTAATACGAATATACAGTCCTACCTCGGGTTAAAGACGCTTCAGGTTGAGCGTTTTCAGGTTGCGTCCCGCGGTGACCCGGAAGTAACGGAACGGGTTACTTCCGGGTTTCGCCACTCGTGCATGCGCAGACGCTCAGATTGAGGTAATGCACATGCGCAGACACAGAGAATCGCGACCTGCGCTGACGCGGTTTGCGTTCTGCTCATGATGCGAACGGGGCTCCGGAATGGATCCCGTTCACATCCAGAGGTACCACTGTATAGCCATCATGACTCGTAGGCACAGATAGCCTTGTTCTTGATGGCCTTGTCTAATGTTGGCATAACTTTATGACATTGCTTTGGTAAGGTGATTAGTATACTCCTGTGCTAAGCTAAGCACCGGTTGTTGACTGAGCAAGGTTTCGGATCAGAGTTTTGCTTCAATGCATTTGAACTGGTCTCCACCCTCATCGTTCAGCCCGGACACTGAGTTCCAGCGCCGGGGGCCTTCTGGCTGTTCCCTCATTGTGAGAGGTGAGGCTGCAGGGAACCAGACAGAGGGCCTTCTTGGTGGTGGCACCCGCCCTGTGGAACGCCCTCCCATCAGATGTCAAAGAGATAAACAACTACCTGACATTCAGAAGACGTTCAGGGAAGTTTTTAATATTTTAATATTTTAATATTTAACGCTGTACTGTTTTTAACACTTGATTGGGAGCCGCCCAGAGTGGCTGGGGAAACTCAGCCAGATGGGCGGGGTATAAATAAATTATTATTATTATTATTATTATTATTATTATTATTTAGATATTTCATTCAGCTAAATTGGTGTGCATGGCTCAGGGCGTTTAGATCTCCCAGATTACTTGTCAAATGCGTAGGATACCGCAGCTGATCAATAACCCCAGGCAGCTGACTCTTTAAGGATCTGACTCTTGTGGGATACCTTGAAGTGATTTGCCGCTTTCCCACCTTCTGTCATTTTCATGCAATGGATAACAGTTTGGAAAGAGGCTCTTAACTCTCTTTTGGGAGAGGCAGGAGCTGATTCTGCAGAGCTTTGGTGTCACACGCTGGGTAGCTCAGTTGTTTAGAGCGTGGTGCTGATAACGCCAAGGTTGCAGGTTCGATCCCTGTTTGGGACAGCTGCATATTCCTGCATTGCAGGGGGTTGGATCAGATGATCCCTTCATAGCTAAAAAAGGGAGGTGCTTCTTGTATCAAAGGATCATATAGTTGGAAGGGACCACGAGGGTCATCTAGTTCAGCAACGCAGGAATCTTTTGCCCAACACAGGACTTGACCCCACAGCCCTGAGATTAAGAGTCTCATGCTCTACAGACTGAGCTATCCCTTCCAACTCTACAATTCTATGTGGATTTGAGCTGGTACCACACAATATCTTCCTTTCCTCCCCTAGGAGAATATCTGGCTCAGAGAGCTCAGAAGCGAAAAGCACAGGAACCTCCTCCAGCCAGTGATTTGGGTGCCGGACCGTCGACTTCTAAAGCTAAACCTGGCGGCAAAAAGGACCGGGAAAATTTCAGAAGTGCTCTTGTTAACATCATCATGTGAGCTTCTGTGTAATTTTATTTTTTAGGAAAGTTCTTTCCTCTTTTCGAATGTGCAAATATACATTTATTTTCTTAAAAGAAGATGACCACCGAAAGGAAATAGGGTCAGTTTTGAGAAAGTCGGAAAAAACAGACCTTCCTGCCCAGCAGCAGGAGGCGAAGCAAATCCCCTTGCTTCTGACTTAACTGAGATCAGGACTGATTTGCCAACCGGAGTTTGAAAACCATTGTGATTGAATTGTTGTGTTTGTTTTCGTTAGGCAGCCGGACCTTACTGAGGAGCAGCAGCTTTCCATAGAAGAAGCGAAACCTGGGGCAACAGAGGGCATAGAAAAAGACATTTTGGTAAACAAGACAATGACTCTTTGATTTGAGTGTTTATCAAGGGGAGGGAAAGCAGGATTGAAACATTAGGACTGCGGCAGTGATGCTGGGGGCCAGAGAGGCAGTGGTGCTCTCTTGTCAATGGTGATGCTCCCAGCTTTGGCAGGGATGGGGCAGGGCAAGGTGGTAAGAGGGTCAGGTGAACGGAATCCACTCATACACTGCTGATGATCCTCCCTGGGGGTTTTCAGTGACTTCAGAAGGGAAATAAGGAGCCTGTGGCCCCTCCATGTGGCTTGTGGATGGGCAAACTCCCATCGTTCCAAACGTTCAGCCATGCTGGCTGGGGCTGCTGGGGTTTTTTGCTTTATTTTATATTCTTTATTGAAAAACAAAAAGCACAAATTTACAAGTGCACAGAGTAAGGTAAAAGGTAAAGGTAGAGGACCCCTGGACGGTAAAGTCCAGTCAAAGCGGACTATGGGGTTGCGGCGCTCATCTCGCTTTCAGGATGAGGGAGCTGGTGTTTGTCCACAGACAGCTTTCCGGGTCATGTGGCTAGTGTGACTAAGCCGCTTTTGGTGCAACGGGACACCGTGACGAGTGCCAGAGTGCACGGAAACACCGTTTATGTTCCCACCGCAGCGGGAAGACACAAAAAGAGTGAGATAGGACACAAAAATAGGAAGTTAGCCCTAAGGAAGTTAGATTAGCTTCAACCAGAGCCAGGGCCTTTTCAACACTGGCTCCAGCCTGGTGGAACGCTCTGCCTCATGAGACCAGGGCCCTGCAGGATCTGATTTCTTTCCGCAGGGCCTGTAAGACAGAGTTGTTCCGCCTGGCCTTTGGCTTGGAGCCAGTTTGATTCCCGCCCTCTCTTTCTTTTTTCTTTTCCTTTCTCCTCCTGCGATTAGGCTACATTTTAATATTTTAATGTTTCAATATTTTAATGTTGTATTTTAATTTTGTTTTTAAGTTGTAATCATTCAGCTTGTTTTTATTATTGCTTGTTAGCCGCCCTGAGCCCGGCCTTGGCTGGGGAGGGCGGGGTATAAATAGAAATTATTATTATTATTAAAAAGAAAGAACAAGAAATGGTACCCGTGTAGAAAACAATACAGAACAATAACAACAACAAAAATATATTGTGCACTTTACACAAAAGGGGGGAAATTGTTATTGTAGTTAACCAGACCTTAACCTAATATGGTGTTTATAAAAAATAATTTCAAATGTCATTAAATTTGTCCATGGCAAGCCTACGTTTGTACACAACTTGTTCATGTGCAATGAGTTTGTACGTATTGTCAATCCAATAATTAAAGGGAGCTGCATTGTTATTCTTTCAGTTAATCAATGCCAGTCTTTTTGCCGTAGTCCAGAGAGTCCATTCATATTGTCCCTTTGTTAGATTCCATGTGTTGGGTGTATAATTCAAAAGGATATTTCCCCCTGCAAATTTAAGATTGTTCCGTACAGTCTTGTAGATTCTCTCTCTTTCCTTCTCCTCAAAAATATTCAGTGTAGGATGTTGTACAAACATGTATTTTAAGGGAGCATTATCCCTGTCACATCTCCAGCAGCTAGAGCAGGGTTCCTCAACCTTGGCCCTCCAGATGTTTTTGGCCTACAACTCCCATGATCCCTAGCTAGCAGGACCAGTGGCCAGGGATGATGGGAATTGTAGTCTCAAAACATCTGGAGGGCCGAGGTTGAGGAAGCCTGAGCTAGAGAGTTAGAGTCCCTTCCACAGGCTCTGTGTTAGAGGTTATAAGTTTGAAATGGGAAGCAAGGGGAAATGGAAAGCCTACTCCAAAAAAATACCAAGCAGTCGTGCACGCACAGGTTAATTGTAGTCAGCACATTCACATATGTTTCACATATGTTTAAAGTAAGTGTGTGTGTGTGTGTGTGTGTGTGTGTGATTTTGGGAGGGAACTCATGCATCCATCAATGCCAGAAATAGCTTTGCTTTTTCATAGCATGTTCTGGTCTGAATCTCCTGTGATGTTCTGACTTTGCAGAAATACTACTATTACATTCGCCACGGGATAGATACGGAACACGTGGCCCCAATGGAGGACTCCTGGCTGGAGCATGTCTTGGCACTTGTGCCACAACATTTGAAAGTGCTCAGCGACAGTATCTATGCCCTGTCCGATGAAATGAGAGAGGACTATCTTCTCAGTGTCAAGAAAGCGATAGGTAATGTCAAATGTGATATTTGCTGGAGAAGGTCATTCTTGAGTACTGTTTCAGCATAGGTGCATTTTTAGCCCATATGTTGTCCATACTGTGTTCTAGAGGAGCCTAGAGTTTTACTGGGAAATATACCAGAGTTTTCTTAATGAAAAGATAAGCAACGATGGGCAAATGTCCCTGAAGCAGTTTGCCACCACTTCCTGTCCAAAATGCAGAAGACAGTGAGATGATGATTATATTATATTATATTATATTATATTATATTATATTATATTATAATTATTACCCCACCCATCTGGCTGGGTTTCCCCAGCCATCCTGGGCAGCTTATGCTATTAGATCCTAATGGTGAGGCCCTACAGGCCTGGCTGTGGTTAAGGAGAAACTGTTTCTAGAGCAACATCTTTGAGGAGATAACCCTGCACACAGCAGAGGATTCTGGGAACATGGGGAGCATCACACTATTACAGTACAGTGGTACTTCAGGTTACAGACTCCGCTAACCCAGAAATAGTACCTCGGGTTAAGAACTTTGCTTCAGGATGAGAACAGAAATCGTGCGGCGGCAGTGGGAGGCCCCATTAGCTAAAGTGGTGCTTCAGGTTAAGAACGGTTTCAGGTTAAGAACGGACCTCCGGAACTAATTAAGTACATAATCAGAGGTACCACTGTAGTGCAAGCATTTTGGCTTGCTGGGTGGAACAGTCCCCACCTCCTCCTGCTGTGCACTGTTCTGGGATTCTCCTGAACTTTCCAGAGCCAGTTTTGGGTACACACGGTGGGAGGGGGGAGAGGGTGCAAAACCCCATTTTGCAAGTGATGTGACTCAGTTGAATCCCACCCACGGTGTTCTAAGTGTTCTTTGTTCTTAGGTGCACATCCTGGGTAGGATTCAGTTTTGTACTCTTCCAGTCGTTCTGTCTGTGCAAGATGGAAAGATCCTGCCCCTTGCTCTGTTTTTGAGGGTCTCCCGGTCATCCCCCAGAGCCAATTTGGGCCGGCATTGGGGGAAGGAGAGAAGGGCTTCTGCTGATGGGGTTTGTTACGCAAATGCTGCCCTCTGTTTACAGGGGGAGGTCGCCAGGCCTGTTGAGCCTCAACACAACTTCATCAGCAGCACAGAGAAAGTCTGAAAGCCTCTGTGTGGTTACTGTTTGCTGCCTTTATTCATCACTCACGCCGTAAAATGACTCAAAGCAACTCACTGTTGTAAAAGCGTACATGATTTAAATTTTTTTAACGCTATTGGAAAGATATAAAAACATTATTGGCTAAAAGGGCTCATCCCAGTATCGTAGAAAAGGACAAGTCTTATTCCACCCTACTAAAAGATGAACTCCAATGCAGACTAGGGTACCATCATACCGTAATAGGTCTCAAATTAAGAGCCAAATGCTTGGGTAAACGTCTTTGCCTGGTGCCTAAAAGTCGATAATGATGATGCTGGGTTCGTCTCTCTGGAGTGAGCGTTCCACCGTTGGGGAGCCACTTCTGTTGCAGAATGCTATCTGTAAATGAGTGACGCTTGGAAACTCTGGCCCTTTAGGTGTTGCTGGGCTATAGCTCCCATCATCACCCCTGACTATTGGCTATGCTTTCTGGGGCTGATGGAAGTTGGAATCCAGCAACTTCTGAAAGTCCGCGGGTTCTCCATCTCTGCCGTAAGCAGAATAGCGTGTGCCACTGTTCATTCCCAATGCATTGTTGCTGGATAAATTGTTCTGGAAAGCACACATAAATTCTGTCTGAAAGGTTTAAACAAACAGGATTCCTCTTGGAAAAGCTTTCCATCCGTTCTGGGCATAGAAGCCTGGTCTCCATCGTTCTTCTTTGGCCGTAGTCCTAAACACACTTATTACGATGTAAGCCTCACTAAACACTATGAGACTTATTTCTAAGTAAACATGCATAAGAATGCACTGTGAGGGTTTTTATTTCCCAGCTGCTTTTAATTTTCTGCTGGTTCAGCCTTTTTATGTACACTTATTTTGTTTTGTTTTGCAAAGCGTTCTTAAATCAAATGACTTTGATCCGCGTTGCCTTCGGTTACTCCTGCATAACACCCTTGAAGTCTTTTAGAAATAATTGGTTCGGCTTCTTTGTCACAGTCCCCCCTTCCTCTGTTTTGCTGAGATTATTTGTGTTCTGCTCTGTTTTTAATGTCTCCTTTTAGTTGACTTTGTTTTGAGAGACCCCAGAGAAAAGGAGGAAGACAAGAAGCAAGTTCTTCCACCTCATCGTGAAGAGTAAGGA